AAAAAACAAAGACAAATCATTGTCCTCCCTTAAAGAGTCAGTCCAGGGGCCTGAGGAAACGGCTCAGTGTGTAAAGTTCTTGCCTCACTATGTGAGGACTGGAGTTGGGATCCCCAGCCTCATGTAAATGCCAGGTGGGCATGACAGCCCAGCTATAATCCCAGGGCCTGGGAGGTGGAGGCAGAGAATCTTTGAAGCAAGTGAGCTAGCCAGACTAGCCGAATTGGTGAACTCTGGGTTCAAGTGAGAGACCCTGCCTCAATATATAAAGTGGAGAGCAATCATAGGAGACACCCAACATTGACCTCTAGCCTCCACAGGCACATATACACATGTGCACATGTACTCACGTACATGTACCCACACACATGTGAACATACACAAGTACAATACACACACACACACACATACACACACACACATTAATCTAAATAAGCCTGTCAATCTTACAGGATAAGACAGCTCCCAAGGAAGCTGTCTGTTTCAGAGACTTAAGAAAATAAACACAGTGGGGGCTGGACAGATGGTTCAGCAGTTAAGAAGCTGCTCTTGCAGAGGACCCAGGTCAGATCCCAGCACCCACATGGAAGCTAACAACTGTCCGTAACTCCAGTTCCAGGGGATCCAACACCCCCTTTTGTCTCCCTCAGACACTGCAAACAGGGGTGTACATACAAGCAGGCCTAACAGTCTTACTCATAAAATAAATAACAAGTGCAGCACCTATACAAACATGGAGGTCAGCATGATGGCCCCCTTCCCACTGGCCACTCTCACCTTTGAGTATGTGCACTACATGGTAGTCTTTGGCCACTGACCACTCTGCCCTGTGAAAGCGTTCTCTGCAACGGCGCCTGTGTTCACTGCCCACTAACACCTGAGAGTGCTTCATGTCATTCTGTGCCAAACTCTGTCTTCTACACTGCCAAAAAAAAGTACCTAGACTGGCCTAGAACTCACTCTGCAGCCCAGTTTAGCCTCAAACTTGTACTCTTCCACCTTAGGAAGATTCCTGTCTCCTAAATAGCTGAGATTGCAAGTATATACTGCTACGTCTGGCTGAAAGCCATGTTTTAAAAGTTCTATAGGTAGGGCTAGAGGGATGGGTCAGTGGTTAAAAGCACTGGCTGCTCTTGCAGAGGACCGGGTTCAGTTCCCATCACCCATATGGTGCCTAACAACCATCCTTAACTCCAATTTCAGAGGATCTGACACCTTCTTTTGGCCTCCAGGGGCATTGCACAACATGGGTGCACTTAGATCCATGCAGGCAAAACACTCATACACATAAAGTAAAAATAAAAGAATTTAAAAATTTTTAAAGTTCAATAGGGCGTGTTTTAGGACTTCTCCAAACTGACTACATCTCAAAGTGTAGGATAAATGTATTTTCTGGTGGAGAAACAGAAATCTATGGGCTGAGAAGAGGTTCTAGAAAGACCATCAAGTATTCATTCCTCAAACACCCCAGCATCTGATCTGTACCATTCCCAGGGCCTGGGGGATATCACAGGGCTGAGGAGATACACCCTTCATCCCAGAGACTCCAGACAGGATGATGGGAGGCAGTCCTGCAGCTGTGTGATTCCAAGTGATGACAGTTGAGAGAGGACCAGGTAGGATGGGGGTGGGGTGCTGATAAGTTGGGGAAGGCACCTGAGACTGCAGGCTTTGTGCCCAGTTTATATGCTGCCAAGACTGAGGGCCCGTGGCATGTGACTGCTACTTATAAAATGGGCAGCCGAGAAGCACAGAAGGATTCAGTGTATAGGTCGCCAACCAAGGAGGAAGCAGGTAGGTGGAGATGGAGGTGTGGGTGGAAGATGGGGTGCTAACTCTCCCTGCAGACAGTAAGAACTGCCAGACCCCAGCACAGGGACTCACCTAGAGGGGTCGATCACTTTGTAGATAACCCCACGTGCGGCTGTGGCACTCGGCACACCTGTGGACATAAAATACAGCTCCCCTTTGCACAGGGAACAAGGCAGCCAGTGAGAAGGCTTCCTGGAACTTGGTGTAGGTCCACCCTGCCTGCCCTAGCTCCCCTCAGACTCAGAGGCTGACCCTGACCACCCATCATCTTAACATGTCCTCCTCAGCCTCTGCAGTACAGTCCTCAGGATGTTTCACCCTGCCTGACCCCACTCGGGCTCCCACCTCCACCCAGACATGCCCTGCTGCCTGCCTGACCAGGCCTATCGCACTGACCCTGATCTGCTGGGGTTGGACCATGGCACTCTATGTATACATAAGGACCATGTTGACCAAATCTGCTTTCGGTGGCCCTGCCCCTTGGTCTCTGTGCTGTGAATGGGCCTGGCAGAGCATTGCCTTGTCACTTCTCATCAAAGCACAGCTAGAGCTGGGAGCTGCAGGGGCAATTCTGCCTTGGCCGCCACCACTGTTCTTGGCACGGTCCAAGACTCTTTGGACTGGCTGGCTCACAGGCACCTCCTCCTGGTTTCCTATTACTCTGTGTCACTCAAAGGGCTGAGGAAGGGCCCCTGGGAACTGCACCTTCCATCCAGACTCTGCATGGGAGGGGGGAAGGGGTGGCATCTAAATCATGTTAACCCCCTACAGACCAAAAGAAAAGGCTTCCAAGGACCCAGTGTGCTTAAGGATGGCAATGTGGCTGGAGCTGGGGCTGGGGCTGCCCTTTGAGAAATTCACATTCTAATGGGGGGAGGTTGTCAGTTCAACAAAGGTTTCTCACACTAGGCCCTGGGGGGGCTCTGGGCACTGGGCACTGCAGGGGATACCCCTCCAAAGGCCCTGGGTGAGCGTTGCCTGGAAACACCAACAAATATGCACCAGGGCCTGCTGGGGGCCTCCAGCCTTTTATCAGGGAACAATCCCAGGGCCAAGGACAAAGGCAGGAGGCTGGAGCAGGATCCAGCCTCCGTGGTCCTCTTTCTCTCCCTTCCCCCTCTGTTCCCTGCATTGAAAACGTAAGTAAGTGCCTGAATATGGGGCCCAGCAACAGGCAAGAAGGCTATGTTCATCTGCTTTGAAATGACAACGTGACTTTACTCAATAGCTCAAATACATTTGCCTTTAGTGATCCAGCTTGGTGAGAGAATCTCCTCTCCCACCTGCCTGCAATTCCACATTCCAGATCATTCCTGCTCCAGCTAACACTGGGAACTGTCTAGCTCTCCTGGCAACCCCACCATGGGGGTAAAGACATTAACAGTCACTTCTCCAGTTTCCAGATAAAGAAGTGGAAGCTTGGAGAGGCCAGGATTGACCCAAGAATGCACAAGAAAGATCTCAGGTCACAGAACACACTTCTCCCAGCCTGAATTCCCTCATGTCAAAGGCCAGAAGGATGATGGGGATGGACAAAGGGCTGGGACAGTCTCAGACACCAGCAGCAGGCTGGAGATGCTCACCAGCCTCATCCTCTGCAAAGGAGATGATGTGTGGGTAGTAATTGTTGATAAGGCCTGGGAAGGCACAAGTCTGTCCACGGCCCATGCAGACTTCACTGTACTTCCAATGGCCTGTCTCTGGATTCTCTCGAAGGGACATCAGTCTCCTGCAAAGGAAAATGAGCCATGAAATCATGCTTGGTATGTTGCAGAGGGGAAGCCATTCATCCACACACCCATCCCTATATCTACTCATTCATCCATTCATCCCTCTATCCATCCATCTACTCATCCATGTATCCATCTGTCCATCTACCCACCCATCCATCTACTCATGCATCCATTCATTCCTCTGTCCATCCATCTACTCATCCATGTGTCCATTCACCCACCCATCCATATATCTACTCATTCATCTTTCTGTCCATCCATCTACTCATCTATGCATCTATCCATCTACCCACCCATCCATTTACTCATTCATCCATTCATCCCTCTATCCATCCATGCATCCATCTATCCACCCACCCATCTATTTACTCATTCATCCATTCATCCCTCTATCCATCCATGCATCCATCCACCCACCCATCCATCCATCTACTCATTCATTCATCCCATTCATCCCACTATCCATCCATCTACTCATCTATGCATCCATCCACCCACCCATCCATCTATCTACGCATACATCCACTCATCCCTTTGTCCATACATCTACTCATCCATCCATATACCCATTATCTATCCATCCACTCATCTATCCATCTATCCATCCAGCCATTCATTCATCCATCCTTGAACTCATCTATTGACCCCTGGAACCAAGATCACATGTAAGTACAGGGTGCAGTACAAAATGAGCATGCACCAGCTCTTGTCCAAGAATTACTAAGAATTTAGGGACAGTGGACTGGTGAGATGGTTCAGAAAGTAAACCTGACAACCCAGGTTTGATTCCTGGGACCCACATGTTAAAGGGTGAGAACCCACTCCTACAACTTGTCCCTGATCTCTTCATGCTTGCTATGATGTGTACACACATGCACATACAGACACGCACACAGAGACAAAATAATAAATCTAATTTTTAAAAGTTTTTAAGAATTTAGGTGATCAAAAAAAAATCATTGACCCAAATGTAGGCCATTTGAGCATCAGGCCCTGTGTGGCTGCAGGGTTTTATGCCCTCAAAGCTGGCTGGGGGTGTGGTCTTTACTGAAGCCTTCCAAGAGAGACTGAAAAATGAACAAGACTAGCTGGATCCCTGCTCCTCAGCTCAGTAAAGCCATGACGTGCAAGAGATGCAAGTCTCTGGAGAGCTGAATTCTTGTCAGGGCTGGAGCCTAGGGCTGTGCACATGCTTCAGGGTTGCCTGAACCAGGGCATCCTGGGATGCCTCTCTTCTCTACTTGCCAACCACGTACAGATACCTCCATGCCATGCTCAGATTTGCTTCTTCTGTGAAGCCCTCCCTGGCTGCCTCCATACCTGGCTCCCAGCACTAGGCACAGGCTCTCTGAGATTGTCCTCCCTCAGACTGGGCATGGGTTACTCACTAACCTGGTTACAAGTTATTCTTCACCTCCACTGGCCTGGTTCCAAAGAAGCTTGGGACATATTGGCAAAATTAGCTGAATTTCTGTGGACAGGTGACTTAGGTACTCTTGGGGAAAGAGATCAGAGTAAAAGTGAAGGCTTCATCTAGACCCACTTCCAAAAGGGAAGGCCAAGACCCCAAGGATGGAAGAAGGAAGCACCATCCAGGGGCCCAGGTGTGGGTTGTGGCTGAGCTCCAGACTGCAGGCATACTGACCACAAGGTTGCAGCCTTCACAAGGTTGAGAAGCAGGTTCTGACAGGATGGCTCTGTGGGTAAAAGTGCTTGCTGGCAAGCCTAAAGACGACCTAAGTTTAACCACCAGAACCACATGGTTGGAAAGAGAGAACCAACTCCCAAAAGTTTGTCCGACGCACATACAAGTGTGTGTGCGCACACACAATGTAAAAAGTAAAAATAAAAGTGACGAGAGACTTCCTGATCTCCTCTCCTGAGGCCCCATATTTCAGCTGCCTGCCCATGGAGAGGTCAGAGTGGGATTAGGGCCACCATGCATGAGTGTGACTAGTTGACTGCAGTTTTTGTTTGTTTTTTGAGACAGGGTCTCACTATGTAGCCTCAGCTGGCCTCTAACTCACTGTGTAGACCAGGTTGGCCTCAAAGTCACAGAGATCCACCTGTCTCTGCCTCCTCAGTACTAGAATCAAAGAAATGTGCTTCCACTTTTTGTTTTGTTTTGTTTTTTGAGATAGGGTCTCACCATGTAACCCAGCCTAGCTCCAAACTTGAGGTTTCCTGCCTCAGCCTCCTGAAAGCTCAGGTTACTGGTACATGGACCATCTTCTAAGTGCTGTGTGTTTACTGACTCCATCCAGAGACATGCCTAGCAGGTGGGAGCTGTTATCAGCTGCATTCCGCAGTGAGGATACTGAAGTGCAGACAGGTGAGGGAACTGGTTCAAATTCACATCAGTCAGGGGGAGGATTCAGATCGGCCACCTCAGCTACCCCTTTTTTTTTTTTTCACAGTCTCACTATGTGTCCCTGACTAGCCTCAAACTCACAGAGCCTGCCTCTGCCTCCAAAGTGCTGAGATTAAAGGCTATGCCACCACACCCAGCAGCAGCTGCACTTTTTTGTTTGTTTCACTGGGATTGTTGTTTTGAGACAGGGTCTTCCTATAGTCCCAGCTGGCCTGGAACTTGCTATATAGACCAGGCTGGCTTCAGTCTCATAGAGCTCCATCTGCCTGTGCCTCCCAAATGCTGGGGTTAAAGGTGTGAGCCACCATACCTGAATAACCAACTGCACTTTAAAAAAAATTTTTGAATGTATGAGTGTTTTTCCTGGGTGTATGTAAGTGCACTGTGTGCATTTGGTGCTCGCACAGGGCATCAAGTCCCCTGGAACTGAAGTTACAGACCTTAGTTATGGACAGGACTGTTTTTAGCCACCAACAGGTAGTACTGGGAACCAAACTCAGGTCCTCTGCAAGATCAGCCAGAGGTCTTAGCTGCTGAGCCATCTCTCTAGGCCAACCAGCTGCACTTTGAAGCATCATGCCAAGTTGTGCCACTTTGAAGCACCCTGGACTTCTCTGGTCCTCAGTTTTTCTCCTCTTTACAATGGGACAACAGGATGGTCATAAGGTTCCATAAGTTTCAAGGACTGAACCTGACTCACAGCAAACTCACACTGTGTCATCACCTCCCCTCCCCATCCCACCTCTTACAAAATATCAGCATCTACGGTATGACTCACCCTCCCCAGCACACCCACTAGGATCTCAGTGAGGTTGGCACTGCCCAGTGCATGACTCCATAGGCCACGATGGCCAGGCCGGCAGCACCCCCAGCAACCCTTCCCCTCATCAGGGTAGCTCCAGTTCCCCAACCTGCGCTCCTGACTGGGGTGAGATGGGCAGGGTTCTCCAGGGCCCTGCCAGTCAGTACAGTGACAGGTCGTGGCTTCCCCCAGGAGTGAAGTGGTCGGCCCTGTAGAGAAAGCTGTTTCTGTTCAGCCTCAGCTCTTCACAGCACCAGTCAAGCTGAGAACAAGTCTTTGCAGACTGGTAAGAGCCACACTTGAACCACAGAATAGTCCTTAAAGCCAGCTAGATCTTCATCCTGGTTGTCAGGCTGTTTCCTAAGATGTAACTGGGCCTTCCTCCCTGAGGAAGAGACCAGTGTGACCCACTCCTGGGGTTGTGGGAGTTCACATGGATGGTACACAGACACACACTTTTTACCCCAATCGAGGAGTCAGAGGCAGCAACTAAGGCACTCAGAGTCACTTACCCACTCATGAAATCACCGAAAATGTAGAGGCCATTGAGGTTAGGGTACTCACAGCCCCGGTACACGTAGCCCCCTGTGACTGATTTGCCCAGTTTGTGAGGGTAGGCGAAAATGGGCAACACATCATCTGTGGAATGGATGAGAAACTGGGGTGAGCCTACACTACCCAGTCATCCCCAGGCCCAGTGCAGAGCTATGAGGGCAGCACCTAGAAGGGTTTGTGGCCCTGAGCAAAGGAAGTGCTCATAGGGGCATGACATATTTTCAAGGGCTCACAAGGGGGTGAAGGGCAAGAAGGGCCCTAGAGTGTTGTTTGAAGGGATCCCTGAAACATAAGGTCTGGAACGAAGAACAGTCTCAATGAAGGAGACAGAGGGCAATGCTCATAGGGCCAGGGTCTGAGGTGACGGGGGTGTCCAAAGAGGCAGTGGGGCATGGTAGTGTCCATGGGAAGCTGGATTACTCAGCACGGGGGTGGTGGATCTGACTGGGGGGGGGGGTCCCCGGGGGATTGGGGCAGCTCTGGGTCCACAGTTCCCGGGAGGGACGAATGGGACGTGGTGGATGCAGATTTAGAGTCGCCAGGGTGATGGTGATCCCGGTTGGGGGTTCCCAAGGGGATGGGATGGGGGCGGGGTGGCTCCATATCAGGGTTTTCTGAGATGGGGGGGTCTGGGGTGCCTCTAGTCGGGTCTCGGGACACAATTACCGAGGGAGGAGTTGGCACACAGCTTGCGGTCGTAGCACTCGAAGCCCTCGCGCGCCCGCCAGCCATAGTTGCGGCCCCGCTCCACCAGGTCCACCTCCTCGAACTTGTTCTGGCCCACGTCGCCGCAAAACAGGCGCCCGCGGCCGGCTCTGGACACCGGGTCGCCGCGGTCGAAGGAGCAGCGCCACATGTTGCGCACGCCCAAAGCGTAGACCTCTGGCCGCGCGCCGGGGTCGTCCACAAACGGGTTGTCGGGCGGGATGCGGTAGAGTGGGCCGCGCTCATTGCGGTCCACGTCGATGCGCAACACCTTGCCCAGCAGCGCCGACCTGCGGCCGGGGCGGAGAGCACCGGCTGGGGTCCGCTGAGCCCAAGCAGGGTGGCGATGTGCAAGCCCCCAGGGCCCAGCCTTCCTCAGCCATCCTCACCCTCTCCTCCTTCTGCACACCCTCCTGTGTTAGGCTCTTGCTGTGCAGCAAGCCTTCTACAGAGGACACCCGAGCTTGGACACGCTGCCACCCAGCTAATCAGTGGTAGAGTCAGATGCACCCAGCTCCATAAACCCAAGCTCTTAGGAGAAACACCAGTGTCCTCATCTATAATACTGGGGACCCCACTCGGTGCTGTCTATTCACAGCGCTGTGCTATAGGGTTAAGATTGTACTACAAAAATAACTCATCGTAACGCTTTTCTGGTAGTCAGCCTTGTGATCCCACATAGTGGGGTGCTGAGCCACGGAACCAATGCAGGCCACCAAAGCCAGATATACCAGACTACAGGGGAGAGTCGGGACGGGGCACGTGTGCAGTCATCTACAGGCAGCTCTGGGTGGGTAGCCATTCACTTCTTTAATCACATTAGCAAAGAGGGCCTACAATAGGTAAGACCCAGAAGGTGCCTGCAGCCAGCAGGGAGAGAAATACAGCTTCTTCAGGGTGCTTCCGGCCCAGCACCACTCCTCTGCTAACATGAGGGAGCTCCTTCCAGGATGCCTTGCAAGGCAGGTTTGGTACAGTTTGCTGAGTCTGTGATACATCTGTGTACCTGTCACTAGCACACAGCATTAGCACCCCAGTGTTTCCCTCATATTAGAGACACTGCACAAGTGTCCTCTTTCGTGGTGATAAGCCTTCCACTGGCTGAGGTTCATCCCCATCGACAGGCACTCCAGGCCCCCACCTCCATACCTCACACCCAGCTTCAGGATCTATAGGTAAAAATTCCTGGCATCAAAACAATGCTTTTAACTTCCGTAGAATTATTCAGGAATTCTCAATCTCTATTTTCTCAGCTTCAGCGCCAAATGCATCACCAACATGAGAAGACAGGGCTGTCTCTCACTGTGGCACAGGATGGCACAAGCCACACACTGTAATCCACACGTCCTCCTCAGTGTCACTTCCTGGGCCAAGAGAGGCTGTGCATTTTTTGGCTAAAGGAATGGAGGAGGCTGGCTGGAGGCTCCTGCATATTCCTGTGTACATGCACAGCTCCGAGTGTGTGTCTGTGTGCATGCACACACGTGTGAGGAGGATGAAGGCAGGCCATTTGCTCAAGACAGGAAGTAGGTAGATGAGAATGAGACTACCCTTCAGCATCTGGGTCTCCTTGGGGCAAAAAAAACCCACGCTCCTCCACGACCATGCTCCAACCTGCTCTGCCTCCCCATTTGACCTGGGAGGACCCGCCTTCCTCCAGCAGGGCCCAGCAGGCCAGGGCTGACTTTGGAGGAAACCTCATCATCCCAAGGGCTCACTGCTGTCACTTCTCAGGCATCTGTGACCATGAGCAGGGCCCTGACCCTACAAGCACAATTGCTTCCTCTCCTCTTGGTAAGTCTCCCATGAGCCTGTCACTGCCCTCTCCAATCAGTGATAAGTGACTTGCCCTGGGGTCCCCAGCTAACTGCAGGCAGGGGAAGCAGCTCTCCCTCCAGAAGAAGCTCATGAGTGTGCAAAAACACGCCCTAGCCATGCAACAGCAGGACATACTTGTTTTGGGCGTTTCCAAACTTCCCAAAGGGGTCTCCAGCCATCCCGCCATCTCCAGTAAAGATGTAGAGGTACCCGTCATGCCCAAAAAGCAGCTGGCCCCCATTGTGGTTGGAGGCTGGTTCTTCAATCTCCAGGATTATCCTGAAGAGAGAAAAGCACCCCCCAATAAGATCAGCTTTCCAAATGTGACCCCCCCAAAATAAAACAGCAGTAAAACCTCTTTCCAATGCCATTTGCAATAGAAAAGACTTCATTTCCTTTGTAACAAGATATTTTTCACAAGAACCTGGTGGGTGGACTGGGTGGAGTTAAGTCATTCCACTGTGTCAAGGACCTGGATACTCAGAAGCTTGAGTGACCTGCTCAAGGCCACGCAGTCCATTGGCATCAGCAATGGGACTAGGACTCTGCTCTAGTGTTTGTCTATTGCCCTGCACCACTGGTACCTGATGGGAATTCATGGACTTCACCACTGGCACTACTTATTTCTCACACTAGTTAAACTGAGGGCACACTACCCCCCACCACTACCCCATCCCAGTTAAGCCATGAGCTTCTCAGGGCAGTAATCCTTACTGCCACTGGAGGAAACCTTCCACTGCACCCAGCCAGCTGGCTTTCCATCAGGGTTTGCCATGGAGAGAGGAAAGCAGGAGAAAGGGAGAGGCTGTCATTCTCTGTCTCTGGAAGCAACAGATGCAGAGACTCAGGAGTGGCCACTGTGGATATCTCAGCCAAGGTTGCAAAAACTCAGCAGCACAAACTCTTCCAGTTGATGCCTCCACACACTGGAGGAGTTCAAAGTCATCATTGGCTACATAGCACATTCAATGCTAGCCTGGGCCATATGAGACCCTGTCTTAAAACAAAACTCTGGAGCTGGAGAGATGGCTCAGAGGTTAGAGCACTTGCTGCTCTTCCAGAGCTCAGTTCCTGGCACCCATATTGGGTGGCTCCTAACTGCCTATAACTCCAAATCCAGGGGATCTGGAGGCCTCTCCTTGCTGTGTGGCCAACTCCCTGAACTAAATTCCCCCAACAGAAATGAGCCCCAAATAGTACAGGTTCAACAGTACCAGCAACTGAGCTTGTAGTCTTTTATGAAAACAAATCAGAAAAAACAAGGAGCTGAGCAGACAGCTCAGTGGTTAAGAACACTGGCTGTTCTTGCAGAAGACCCAGGCTAAATAGTACAGGTTCAACAGTACCAGCAACTGAGCTTGTAGTCCTTTATGAAAACAAATCAGAAAAAACAAGGAGCTGGGCAGACAGCTCAGTGGTTAAGAACACTGGCTGTTCTTGCAGAAGACCCAGGGCAGCTAACAACTGTCCATGACTCCAGTTCCAAGGGATCTGATGGCCTCTTCTGTTCTCCATGGGCATTGCATGACACGGGTGCACTTACATACATGCAAGCAATCCATGAATACAAATAAAAATAAAAATAATAAGATGTTTTTAAATTTTTATTTTTATTTTATGTGTATGAGTATATTGTCTGCATGTGTGTGAGTGCACCCATGTCGTGCAATGACGTGGAGGTCAGATGAGGGTGTCAGATCCCCTGGAACTGGAGTTAAGGACTGTTCTTAGCCACCACGTGGGAGCTGAGAATAGAACCCGGGGCCTCTGTAAGAGCAGTCAGTGCTCATAACTGCTGAGCCATCTCTCCAGCCCCCCCCCAAATAATTTTAAAATGTTTAAAGATCAGAAAAATCAAAACACAGAAAAGCCAGGTCATTATAACCCATGTCTTGAGTCCTTCAGAGCCAGTGCTGGGGGTTTTCCATGGTGCGGCTGATGCATATGACCAGGTAGGCAAAACAGAGCCCCAAACTCTGGGTCATCCAGGCAAACGACAGCTCGGACTGCTGGTTACCAACCTCCTCCTGTCCCAGGAAGACACTGACAGCTGACTAGGGCACCGATGGCAGTTCACTCCCAGCCCTGCCTTGAGCCAGTCAGCCATGCCTACTTCTTCCTGAGTGAATCAAATTCTAGGCTTGAATGTGTCCCCAGAGGACCCTTGCTAAATCCTCAATGTGAAATATGTTTATCTGTATACTTTGTGTCACAAATTCAGAATTTTTAAATAATGTATATATATGTTTGTCTACCTCATGTGTGCAGGTACCCTCAGAGGCCAGAAGAGGACATCAGAGCCCCTAGAGCTGGAATTGTAGGCAGTTAAGAGCTATACAATATTGATGCTGAGAGCTGAACTCTGGATGAGTAGCAAGTGCTATTAGCCACTGAGCCCTCTCTCCAGCTCTAGGGTTTTGTTTTGTTTTAAGATAGGGTCTCATGCAGCCCAGGCTAGCTCAAATGTGTTACGTAGCCAAGGCTAACTTTGAACTCCTGATCTTCTGATCTTCCTGCCTCCACCTCCTTAGGTCTGAGATCACAGGATATGTACCACTGTTTCCAACTTCAGTTTTTATCAGAAGTCGGTTTTTAAAAGTCAGGGCTGGAGACACATCTGTTCTGTCTTCTCTCCCCTCTGTCAGGTACATGGGATAAACCATCTCATGGAGAAGAGGTTGTCCAGGCTCAGGTGCCATCCTGAGAATTGTTTCTTTTTCTCGCTCTCTGGCTGCCAGGAAACTCAAGAGTCAAAATTAATGCCATAAAAGAAGATCAATATTAGCTCTCAGAGCCGCCACTTTGCATTCTTTTTCTTTTTAAAAGGATTTTTAAACTTTTTATGTGTGTGTGTGTGTGTGTGTGTGTGTGTGTGTGTGTGTGCGTGCACATGTTATTACATGGGTGCTGGGATCTGAACTCGGGTCCTCAAGATCATACATCAAACATTCTTAACTATTAAGCCATATCTCCAGTCCATCTTTCTGGTTTTTTATATTTCCAATGTCAAGACTTCACACTTGGGGGACTAGAGATAATGCATCAGCAGTTAAGAGCACTGGCTGCTCTTGCAGAGGACCTGGTTTGGTTCCCAGCACCCACATGGTGGCTAATCCACCAATAACTCAAGTTCCAGGAGATCGAATGCTCTCTTCTGACCTCCTCAAGCATTGCATGACACTGGTGTACTTACATATATGCAGACAAAGCACTCCTACACATAAAATAAATTTTTAAAAGAATATTTTACAGTTTCAACAAATATATGATGTCCTATAATTTGCCTGCCCACCCTGGCACGTACATGCCCTTTACTTGGAAGGCAGGGGAAGGCAGCTTCTACAAACTACATTTCCCATGCTCCTTTGCTAGATGAACACTTTCAGCCAATGGAAAGTATGGGCAGGAGCCAGGCACGGGGAGGGTGTATCTCCCTGGGTCTGTGTTTTAGGCAGCATCTCTGCCCTTCCTCCAAGGCTCCAGTCAGGTCAGCCCCCACCAGGCCTCCCACTGGGTGGTCCCAGCTCTGGGCTCTGGTGTTCACTTCTCGCTTTGTCCTTTCAGCTCTCTGATGGAGGCCGCATCCTCCAGCAGCTCAGCCACAGCACCTCCTTCCCCAAGTTGTCCCTCCATCACTCTGACACCTGAAGAGCTCCTTCTCAGTATCCATTTCTACCTGGGGGAGTCTCTGAGGGACAGGGTTATTTTCCCAAGAGACCCAAACTGACACTATGTCCCTTGTGCCAAACCAGATTAACTCCCCTCCAAAACTGGAAGCATATATACTGGAGGGTGGGTTCTTCAGGCTTTGGGGGGGCCCAGAGGTAGAAGTAGATACAATCAGGCTGAAGCTGGGCATGGTTCTGAACACTTGTAATCCCAGCACTGTGAAGTAGAAAGAGGAAAGATCAGCAGTTCAAGGCCAGTCTCTGCTACATAGAGAGTTCTAGACCAGCCTGGGCTACCCAAGATCCTGTCTCAAAAAAAAAAGAAAGAAAGAAAGAAAGAAAGAAAGAAAGAAAGAAAGAAAGAAAGAAAGAAAGAAAGAAAGAAAGTCATCCTCAGT